GCTCTTCCTTCAAGCCTGCTTTTAGGATCATGGTTATAGGACAAGACCTAGAGGTTAGTCTTAGAACAAGAATACTAGGGTAAAAGTTGAAAGGTCCTGCCCTTGTTCTTTCGGTGGAGAAAAAAGTTCTGCGATAGCCTTGTCCTTCCCTGTCTACCATTTCTGTCATCCTGAGAAGACTCTACATGAGGCATTTGTGCTTTCTCTTCCCACTGGGAAGGTGCTTGGATACATGACACAACTCTGTCCAAATCATCACCAGCAGAAACCTCTGGAGTGTGCGACAATAAAACCTGAGCAATTTCAGGGTTAGGCTGGGAAAAGAAACATAGTGGGAATATTGGAGGTAGAAAACAATCATGCTACTGAGAAGTCACGGTTTTCCATTAACAAAGGCAAGAGAAAGTTGAGTGTGAAAAGCGGCTGCTTGTCCCCTCAAATCCACCCTTCCTGTCTTCCATAGTGGGGCACACAGTTGTCTAGCTAGAACATATATTTTTCTGCCTCCCTTGGAGCCAGGCGTGCCAACATAACCAAGTGCAGGCAATGGGGTGTGCAGAGATATGTACAACTTCTGGATGGTCTCCAAATTAAAGATAAACTGTGCTTGCCATGAGTAAGTTCTCCTTCCTCTTTTATGAAAACTGTAATACACATGTAACAGTCACCCAATTTAACCATTCGGTCAAGGTCAATGCACTGAGGGAATCTAAAAGAACCTAGGTTCCTAAAAGATCTCATGGGGCACAGTTGCCCTGCTAGTGTGGGCTACCTAGACTAGCTTTTGAAAGAGAATATGCTTCTATCCTATTTAAGCCTCCATATCTGCAGGCCTCTTTGTAACAGCAGCTTGGCTTAATTAATGTATTAATTTATCTCATTAGCATACGGTCAAGCAATGAAAGTGTTAAACTGAAACGTGAAATTGCCGATTTTACATATCAAAAATAGTTGAATATCAGCATACAACTCAACTTAATGAGATCAGGTCAGATATTTTAAGGAAAGTTAAACTCATTTCTTCTCATTAGCTACTTCACCCTGTAATTAATGCACGGTAAAATAAGGTTCAATATACAGATACTACAAAACATCACTGAAAGAAGTTAAAGGAGGTCTAAATAAATGGAAAGATATCCCATGATCATGAATTGGATGACTTATTAAGATGTCAATAGGGCCAGGCACAGTAGCTCACCCCTCTAATCCCAGCACTTTGGGAGACCAAGGCAGGTGAACAGCTTGAGCTCAGGAGTTCAAGACTAGCCTGGGCAACATGGCGAAACCCTGTCTCTACAAATAAAAATAAAAATAAAAGGGGGGAGCATGCCTGTAGCTCCAGCTACTTAGGAAGCTGAGGCAGGAGGATCATCTGAGCCCAGGAGGTCAAGGCTGTGGTAAGCCATGATTACACCACTGCGCTCCAGCTCAAGCAATAGAGACCCTGTCTGGGGGGCGGAGGGGGGAAGATGTCAATAGTCCACAAAGCTACAGATTTGATGCAATTTGTATCAAAATCCCAGCTATCTATTTTATAGAAATTAACAAAATTATCCTAAGATTCATTAAATGCAAAGGACTCAGAATGGCCAAAACAATCTTCAAAAAGAAGAACAAAATTGGAATCACATTTCCTAATTTCAAAACTGACCACAAAGTCATACTAATTAAGAAAGGGTGGTATTGGCATAAGGACAGACATAGATTAATGGAGTAGAACCAAGAATCTAGAAATAAACCTTTATATTTCTGGTAAATTGATAAAAGTGACCAAAGAATTTGACGGGAAAAAAATAGTCTTTCCAATAAATGGGGCCTGGATAACTGAATAGCCACATGAAAAATAATAAAGTTGGACCCCTACCTCATACCACATACAAAAATTAAGTCAAAATGGATCAGAGACATAAAAGTAAGAGCTAAGATTATAAAACTCTTAGAAAAAAATACAGGTGTGTAAGTCTTCATGACTTTGAACTAGGCAATGTTTTTTAGATATGACATCAAAAGCACAATCCACAGATGACAAAATAAACTAGACATCATCAAAATTAAAAACACTGTTGCAAAGAACAGCCTTAAGAAAGTGGAAAAACAATCTACAGAAAGGAAAAAAATTTGCTAATCATATATCTGACGACAGAATAGAAAGGACTCTTTCAGCTCAACAATAAAAAAACAAATACTCTAATTTTTTAATTAGCAAAGGATTTGAACAGATATTTCTTCAGGTTCAGAGATATAATTGGCCAATAAGTACATGAAAAGATACTCAACATCACAAGTCATTTAGTGAAATGCAAATCAAAATTATGATAAAATACTATTTCATATCCACAAGGATGGACATAACTTTTTTTTTAAAAAAAGACAGTAACAAGTATTGAAAAGATGTGGTGAAATTGTAACATTATTCATACATTGCTAAAGGGAATATAACAAAATGGTATAGCTATATGAAAAAGTTTGGTGGTTCCTCGAAAAGTTAAACATAGAACTGCTATATGATTCAGCCATTTCACTCCTAGGAATAGACCCAAGAAAACTGACGTTTATACAAAAAACTTATGTTTAGACAAAAGCTTGTGTTGTACACAAGTGTCCATAGCAGCATTATTCATAACAGCCAAAAAGCAAAAACAACCCAAATGCCCATCAACTGATGAATGGATAAACAAATGTGGTCCATCCATATGATGGAATATTACTATGCCTTAAAAAGGAATGAAATTCTGATATAAGTTACAACATGGATGAATATATATATATATTTTTGAGATGGAGTTTCGCTCTTGTTTCCCAGGCTGGAGTGCAGTGGCATGATCCCAGCTCACTGCAACTCCTGCCCCCCGGGGTTCAAGACTGCCTCAGCCTCCTGAGTAGCTGGGATTATAGGCACACGCCACCACACGTGGCTAATTTTGTATTACAACATGGATGAACACTGAAAACATTATGCTAAATGAAAGAAGCCTAGTCACAAAAGACCACATATGGTATGATTCCATTTATGTGAAATATCCAGAATAGGCAAATTCATGAAGACAGAAAGTAAATTAGTGTTTGCTAGGGAGTAGAAGGAAGAAGGATTAGGGAAGGACTGATAATGGATATGGGGCTTCTTTTTTGGGTGGTAAAAATGTTCTGGAAATTGGCCGGGCATGGAAATTGCTCGTCTATAATCCCAGCACCTTAAGAGGCCAAGACAGATGGACTGCTTGAGATCAGGAGTTAAAGATCAGCCTGGTCAACACGGCGAAATCTCATCTCTACTAAAAATATAAAAATTAGCTGGATGTGGTGGTGCATGCCTATAATCCCAGCTACCTGGGAGGCTGAGGCAGGAGAATCGCTTGAACCCAGAAGGCAGAGGTGGCAGTGGGCCAAGATCATGCCACTGTACTCCAGCCTGGGCAACAGAGTGAGACTCCATCTCAAAAAAAAAAAAAAAAAAAGTTCTGGAAATAGATAGTGGTTGTAATGGGTTGAATGGTGGCCCTGAAAAGGTATGTCCATGTCCTAATACCCAGAATCGTTATTTGAATCATTATCTCCACTAGAGTCTCTGAAGGGTGTGGCCCTGCCCACATCGCTTTCAGGCTTCTGGCCTCCAGAACTACAAAAGCATGCACTTCTGTTGCTTTAAGCCACTAGGAATAGTAATTTGCTACAGCAGCCCCAGGAAACTAACAACAATGGTGACCCATAAACACCTTTTAAATATACTAAAAACCATTGACTTACATGCTTATTTACTTCTTGAGACAGGGTCTCACTCTCTCACTCAGGCTGAAGTGCAGTGGTGCAATTACGGCTCACTGCAGCCTCAACCTCTCAGCCTTAAGTAATCCTTCCGTCTCAGCCTCCCACGTAGCTGGGACTACAGGTACATGCCACCACACCTGGATAATTTTTCAATTTTTTGTAGAGATGAGGGTCTCACTATGCTGCTCCGGCTGGTCCCAAACTCCCGGGCCCAAGAAATCTTTCCACCTTAGCCTCCCAAAGTCCTGGGATTACAGGTATTAGCCACTATCCAGCCAACTTCTATACTCTAAAGTGTACAAAGGGTTAGCTTTATGGTATGTGAATAATAGCTCAATAAAACTATTATTTAAAATATACATGCGCGCGCGTGCACACACACACACACACACACACACACACACACACAGAAGCTCACTTTATAATACATCAGGATAATAACCCCATGTTCTGATATATAATGATAAACTACAGTCCTTTCTTTTGTATACCAAGGCGATGCTACTGTCCCACAGCCATGACGACTGAGTAGTTGCTCATCCTTCCTCAGCTGGGAAAATTTTTAGATCTATTTCCTTGCAACCTTTTGGGCTCACACTAACTAGGAGGATGGCTGGTCATTTCTAGTCTGTGGCTCTGCAGTTCTGGGTACATACTTGGGACCCATTTTTTTTTTTCCGATTTCTGGATTAATGTCAACAGATAGAGCCTTGACTAAAAGATTAACTAGATAACTGGAAAAGATAAATTTTTAGGCCATCAAGAAAAAAGGGACTGCACAAAGAATATTCATTGGCTTAGGAGCTTAGCGTGAAGACATTGGGTTAATCTTCTCCCCAAGTTCAGCAGTAACAGCCATGAAAGCCTAGCACTGTTGCTAAGCAAGCCAGGCTGATCCTCGCGAAGCTCTCCAGGAGGGATTGAGTGTCCTTCCCATCTTACAGGGCAGAGATGGGAGTACATGTTGCCCCTGGAATCTACTGGCCTTTCCTAGGGAGCAATCACCAGCAAAAAGTGGCCTGCGTATAGCACTTGAGGGATTTTTTTGGTAGATGAAAGCATTAGAAACTGTCCCCTGGCAACATGTGAATTGGCATAGATGACTGTGTGGGGAGGTCACTTAGACCTATTTTGGGTGCCTGGGATCCTATGTAACCTCAATTCTCCAAGTCTTGAAATGTGTATGCCACCAAGATGGACCTGGGAAATGCTGTCCCTGGCCCTCTGGACCTTACCTCCACACGTCACTGCCTTTGGAAAACATGGAGGCCCGGATGACTTCAGGTGCCATCCAAGCATACGTCCCTGCTGCACTCATCTTGGTGGTTCGGTGCCATTCCCGAGCCAGGCCAAAATCAGTGATCTTCAGAATCTTGTTGCTCAGGTCTCCATTCTCCACCTTCTGGAGGATCAATACTGGGCAAGGAAATGAATACAGAAGAAACCAGAGTCTGCATTAATCACAGGAAAACCACAGAACAGAACTCTTCTGCCATCCTCCTGGCCTCTCCTGTGGGCTCCAGCGTTTAGCTGCCATAGATTGATGGTCAGAGCCATCATTTCTTAAACACCTATAGTCCATTCATTTTTGTACCACCCATTTTATAGTCACTATCTCCAATCCTCACAACAACTTACAAGGTAGGTACTATTGCCATCTCAGTTTTACTGATGAAGAAACTAAGATACACACATCACAATTAAATAAATTCCTGGCTGGGCACGGTGGCTCGCGCATGTAATCCCAGCATTTGGGGAGGCCAAGACGGGTGGATCACCTGAGATTAGGAGTTCGACACCTGCCTGGCCAACATGGTGAAACCTCGTCTCTAATAAAAATACAACAAATTAGCCGGGCATGGTGGTGCACGCCAGTGACTCTCAATAATCATGTCCTCAAATACTGGTATCTACCAAGCACCCATTGCTACTAATCATTAAAGCACCAAAGCTTGTGAAAGCCTTATTTTATTTTTTGTAGACCTTTTTTTTGAGCTGAAATCCACATAACATAAAATTAACCATTTCTAAGTGAACAATTTAGTGATATTGAGTACATTCACAATGTTGTACAACTACTACCTCTGTCTAGTTCCAAAACATTTTCGCCACTCCAAAAGGAAACCCTGTACCCATTAAGCAATTATTCCCCATTCTCCCTCCTCCCAAACCCAAGGAATCACCAATCTCCTTTGTCTTTATGGATTTACCTGTTCTGAACACTTCATGTAAATTCAATCATACAATATGTTACACACCTGCTTATTTCACTGAACATGTTTTCAAGTCCATCCACATTATAACTTATATCAGCACTTCATTCCTCTTTATGGATGAATAATATTCCACTGTATGTACATACTACAGTTTCTCCTTTTGTCCACTGATAGACACATGGGTTGTTTCCACTTTCTGGCTGCTGTGACTAGTGTGTATGAACATGTGTATACATATATTTGTATACTTGTCATTTGGGGCATATATACCTAGGAGCATACTTGCTGGATCACATGGTAATTCATGTTTGTCTTTTTAAGGAACCACCAAATTGTTCTGCACAGCAGCTGGACCATTTTACGTTTCCACAAGCAGACTATGGGGGCTCCAAGTATTCTCCACATCCTCACGAATACTTGTTATTTTCCTTATTATTGGTATTCTTATTGCCAACCTAGTGCATGTGATATGGTAACTCACTGTGGTTTGGGTTTGCATTTCCCTGATGACTAATGATATTGAACATCTACCTTCTCATGAGCTTGTTGTCCATTTGCATATCTTCTTTGGAGAAATGTCCATTCAATCCTTTGTCCATTTTTAAAGTGGGTGGTTTGTCTTTTTATTATTGAGTTATAAGAGCTCTTCATATATTCTGATACTAGACCCTTATCAGATACATGACTTGCAAATATTTCTCCCATTCCATTGGCTGTCTTCTCACTTACTTGATACTTTTGATACACCAAAGTTTTTAATTTAGATGAAGTCCACTTTATTTTTTTATTTATTGCACATACGTTTGGTATAATATCTAAGAACCATTAACAAATTCAAGATCATGAAGATTTAATTCTATGTTTTCTTCCAAAAGTTTTATGGTTTCAGCTCCTACATTTAGGTCATTGATCCATTTTTAATTTCTGCATATAATATCAGATAGGGGCCCAACTTCACTCTTTTGCATGTGGCTATGCAGTTGTCCCAGCCTCATTTGTTTAAAGAGGAAAGCTTTAAAACAAAAACAGAGTGGACAGCGGTTATCTCCCAACATACTTTCCTGAGTGGAAGCGAAAGGTTATATTCACAGCAGTTTACATACTTGTACCACTGCAGTAAGCCCACTGTAAACTTCTACCACTGACAAACAGCTGTGGCAATAACAAATTGTCATGCTTTCACATCTTGAAAAATATAAGAATGTTTTATCAAATTTTGGTGAAGTCCATGAGAGTGCATTGTGTAAACCTCACCTCTCCTGTCAGGCAATGGCAAAAACAGTCATGCACCACATAATGACGTTTCAGTCAGTGACAGACCAAATACATAACAGTGGTACCACAAGGTAAGAACAGGGCTAAAAACTTCCTATCGCCTAGTGATGATGGCAGCTGTCATAATGTCATAGCACCACATATTCTCATGTGTCTGTGGTGATGCTGCTGTAAACAAACCTACTGTGCGGCCAGTCGTATAATAGCACAGCATATACAATTATGTACCATACATAATACTTGATAATGCTAATAAGCGACTATGTTACTGATTTATGTATCTAGTTTTTTTTGGTTTTTTTTGGACCCAAGGTCTCACTCTGTCACTCAGGCTGGTGTGCAGTGGTGCAATCATAGCTCACTGCAGCCTCGATCTCCTGGACTCCAGTGATTCTCCCACCTCGGCCTCCTGAGTAGCTGTGACTATAGGTATGTGCCACCACGCCCAGTTCATTATTTTAGTTTTTGTAGAGAAGGGGGTCTCACTTCATTGTCCAGGCTGGTCTCAAGCTCCTCGGCTCAAGCGATCCTCCCACCTCGGCCTCCCAAAGTGTTGGGATTACTGGTGGGAGCCATTGTGCCTGGCCAGCATACTATACTTTTTACCATTAGTTTAGAGTGCACTCCTTCTACTTATGTAAAAAAAAAAAAAA